GATAGATGGCCCTGCTGTAGTCAAGGTGTATGCACTAAGTAAAAGTGGGCTTCAGCATCACAGTTGTGAACATCGCCCTAATCATCATCACCATATCATCATTACAATCATCACAATCACCATCACTGTCATCACAGGCAGCAAGTTCACTCATCAATCTTAAAACTGTTGTTCTGTTCCTCACATGGGTACAATGTGTGAAGCCCATTCCTGGTGTCCCCAACCGGGATATTGCTGGAATATTGCTAAAAGCGGCGTAAAACCATACTTACTCATTTGAGTGATCCCTGCCACAATCATCATCATCATCATCATCATCATCATCATTCATACCAAAATCATAATAATAATCGTCAAGTATACCACAATCACCATGAGTGATCCCTGCAACAATCATCATCATCATCATCATCATTGTCGTCGTGGTCGTCGTCGTCATCATCATCATCATTCATACCAAAATCATAATAATAATCATCAAGTATACCACATTCACCATCATCATCATCATCATCATCATCATCATCATCATCATTTTGTTTTCGCTTTTTTCATTATAGTCAATAGTGCACTCTACTGTCATAGACAATCTTATCATCAGTTCAGTAGTTCCAGAGACATATGTTATCAGCTATATTCACAATATTTATCAGCCTGGCCAGACAGTGGAGAAATGCCTCACCATGTTTAACCCAGGTTCCCAGGTAACATTACTACTGAGAAAACTATCAGGACCTACATGTGTTTCCTTCCAGACCATCCACATTACAAGTGATCGTGATACTCCTCTGTTTTCATCATCTGATTGGTTTCTAGTGTGTGATGAGGTTATCCCCACTGTGGTAAGCCTTTGTTTACAAACTATTGGCTGTGGTGGTAAGCACCTGGCTGGCAGCCATAAGCCCTGACTCACCTTCAGGGCAACTCCCAGTAAGAGGCCCTGTACGGGTTGGGGGGAGGGGGGATCTCAACTTTTTGTACTCATGGCCACTCATGTCATTGAGGATATGATGTATGTGAATGTACTGTGGACCTCTGGCGAGAGTCTTAGCAATGAGTTGTTTATTGACATTTTTCTTTGACTTGTCAACATACAGGCTTGGTTATTTCACTAAATATCTTACACAGGTACCCTTAAAAATAATTACCCTTGCAATTTTGTTGTGTTTATTTAGTTCAACTGGCTAGCAGCCATATTGGCAAGTATAAAATGTTCCCTTCAGAAACCACTGGACCAATCCAGCTAACTAATTTCCCAAAAGAATTGGGTAATAATGTAATGATATTTGGTAATTATCAAATTAAGAGCTTCAAATAATCAGCAAATGTTTCTTTTATGAGATATTTCATCAACCTTAAAAGGGCCCCATTGGACATGATTGTTTCCACATGTGGCAAGGTAATGACTCTATATCTACTGTAATGAAGTTGTCTCGCTTCAATTTTGTAGCATAACCATGTGATCCCAAGACAGAAAATGAGAATGTACTGCCGTGGTATAATCAACATAGACAAAGAAAATTACCTTAGTTATGAGTGACGTTTGTGGTAGGGCCCTTCATGTAAACAAGGTGTTCATGTGTGTGTTTATTTATTGCATCTTGTCATCCCAAGGGTTATTTTGGTTGCTGAGGAATCTTTTTCTTTGTGAATAGTTGTGAGGAAAATACTGTATAGTATTTTGGTAAAATTGCTTGTTATTTGAGGAACTGTGTTCGTAACAGAAGGTTAAACTATTGTGCTTTGAATTATCACTTCGAGAACAAAACTAAGGTAATTTGTAGGACTCGGAATAGATTAACAGATGTCGTTGATTTGGGGATTTGTGGTTTATTGTGTAAACTGTTTACCTGTTTACTCATTGTATGAAGGTTAGATTGACCTGATTGGTTACATTGACCTTACTAATCATAGTCAAAGTAAGATTTGATTAAATGATTAAATAATAGGAGAATAATACATAAATATGTTTTTTGTTTTGCTCCTCTGACAGGCGTAATGAAAGATGTTCATATTAACCCTTTATGTTCAAGACAATGTCTGTGACAGGCGTAATGGAAGATGTTCATATTAACCCTTTATGTTTGAGACAATGTCTGTGACAGGCGTAATGGAAGATGTCCATATTAACCCTTTATGTTTGAGACAATGTCTGTGACAGGCGTAATGGAAGATGTCCATATTAACCCTTTATGTTCAAGACAATGTCTGTGACAGGCGTAATGGAAGATGTTCATATTAACCCTTTATGTTTGAGACAATGTCTGTGACAGGCGTAATGGAAGATGTCCATATTAACCCTTTATGTTCAAGACAATGTCTGTGACAGGCGTAATGGAAGATGTTCATATTAACCCTTTATGTTTGAGACAATGTCTGTGACAGGCGAATGGAAGATGTCCATATTAACCCTTTATGTTTGAGACAATGTCTGTGACAGGCGTAATGGAAGATGTTCATATTAACCCTTTATGTTCAAGACAATGTCTGTGACAGGTGTAATGGAAGATGTTCATATTAACCCTTTATGTTTGAGACAATGTCTGTGACAGGTGTAATGGAAGATGTTCATATTAACCCTTTATGTTTGAGACAATGTCTGTGACAGGCGTAATGGAAGATGTTCATATTAACCCTTTATGTTCAAGACAATGTCTGTGACAGGCGTAATGGAAGATGTTCATATTAACCCTTTATGTTTGAGACAATGTCTGTGACAGGCGTAATGGAAGATGTCCATATTAACCCTTTATGTTTGAGACAATGTCTGTGACAGGCGTAATGGAAGATGTTCATATTAACCCTTTATGTTCAAGACAATGTCTGTGACAGGTGTAATGGAAGATGTTCATATTAACCCTTTATGTTTGAGACAATGTCTGTGACAGGCGTAATGGAAGATGTCCATATTAACCCTTTATGTTTGAGACAATGTCTGTGACAGGCGTAATGGAAGATGTCCATATTAACCCTTTATGTTTGAGACAATGTCTGTGACAAGTAATGGAAGATGTCCATATTAACCCTTTATGTTTGAGACAATGTCTGTGACAGGCGTAATGGAAGATGTTCATATTAACCCTTTATGTTTGAGACAATGTCTGTGACAGGCGTAATGGAAGATGTCCATATTAACCCTTTATGTTTGAGACAATGTCTGTGACAGGCGTAATGGAAGATGTTCATATTAACCCTTTATGTTTGAGACAATGTCTGTGACAGGCGTAATGGAAGATGTCCATATTAACCCTTTATGTTTGAGACAATGTCTGTGACAGGCGTAATGGAAGATGTTCATATTAACCCTTTATGTTTGAGACAATGTCTGTGACAGGCGTAATGGAAGATGTTCATATTAACCCTTTATGTTTGAGACAATGTCTGTGACAGGCGTAATGGAAGATGTCCATATTAACCCTTTATGTTTGAGACAATGTCTGTGACAGGCGTAATGGAAGATGTTCATATTAACCCTTTATGTTTGAGACAATGTCTGTGACAGGCGTAATGGAAGATGTCCATATTAACCCTTTATGTTTGAGACAATGTCTGTGACAGGCGTAATGGAAGATGTTCATATTAACCCTTTATGTTTGAGACAATGTCTGTGACAGGCGTAATGGAAGATGTCCATATTAACCCTTTATGTTTGAGACAATGTCTGTGACAGAAGTAATGGAAGATGTTCATATTAACCCTTTATGTTTGAGACAATGTCTGTGACAGGTAATGGAAGATGTCCATATTAACCCTTTATGTTTGAGACAATGTCTGTGACAGGCGTAATGGAAGATGTTCATATTAACCCTTTATGTTTGAGACAATGTCTGTGACAGGCGTAATGGAAGATGTCCATATTAACCCTTTATGTTTGAGACAATGTCTGTGACAGGCGTAATGAAAGATGTTCATATTAACCCTTTATGTTTAAGACAATGTCTGTGACAGGTGTAATGCAAGATGTCCATGTTAACCCTTTGTGTTCCAGATGATGTTTCTGACAGAATATAAAGATGCTCATGTTAACCCTTCATGTTACAGACAATGTCTCTGACTATTGAAAGATTACACCTAAAATTCCTAAGACTAGTTTCCTCATTAAGAAACTCAACTCCAAACTTTGCTCTCTATGGTGAATTTGGTAGAGAGCCAATTTATATCAAAATATGTAAACGAGTGATAACCTTTTGGCATAAGATCGCTACTTGTACCAGTACTTTGAAACTCTCCAGTACACTGTATAATTATATCCAGGTTAATGTCCCAGATATGTAAGATAGACTGAGATGGTTTTCATTTGTTAAAAAATTCTTAATGATTGAGGGTTAAATGAAATATATGATAATCCTTCCATTTGCACCACCACTTGGCTAGCCTCAACAGTTGAACAGATACTCAAGGACCAAAATTTACAAAATTGGAGAAGTTCCGTAGAACAAAGTTCTAAGGGATTTTATTACAAATATTACAAACAGGATTTATCTTTTGAACCATACCTTTTTATGCCAAAATCAATTTACTTGCCTATTCTTAAATTTAGAACTGGTAACCATTATCTACCTCTTGAGACTGGCCGGTGGACAAATACTCCTAGAAATAACCGTTTATATAAATTATGTAACTCACCCGCTGTTGGTGATGAGTTTCACTACCTTTTCAGGTACCTGAAATAGCTGGCCCAACCTTTATACACTCAAAAGATTACTTTGTTCAAAGAAAGCTCAATATGTTAAAGATTTGTAAAAATTTATTAAATACATGTAATTAAATGTTTGTATCATTCTCTAATGGCACCCTTGTATATATGAATATATGTATATTGTACTGTACATTATCCTGCCTCAATTATATCTCTCCAATGCCATCTTGGTGTATATGTGTATATAAGTTGTTTTCCACTTCACTCATGTACCACCGTTGGTGGAACTTGAGAAAATAAAAACCTTCGAACCTTCGACAGATGTAATGGAAGACACCCATGTTAACCCTTTATATTCCAGACGATGTCTCTGACAGATGTAATGGAAGATGTTGACTACAAGAGGAAGAACTTCAACCATGACGATGTTTTGTACCGCCACCCGCTGCACATGACGGAGGCGCACTTTGTGTATCACCTGTCACGTGACCCCGAAGGCCATCTAACCTGCAACAAAGACAGCAATGGAGAGTTCATCTGTTCTCCCAGGTACTTCCAGTCTCCATGGTAGCCAAGTAGTAAAGTATTTCCTTGTCATGCAATTCCCCATATGGGAACAAATTGAAGGGTTAGAATAAAAAGGAGGTTAAATCCAAATTTATTTTATTTTCTATTTTTTTTAGTATTTGAATGAGGGCAAAAAAGTGTATATAAATATTTGCCAAACAGTGTTTGAAATATCAAACACAAGCAAAATATAGTATTTTATGTGCGTTTCACATCAATAATAATTCAAAAATATTTAAAAAACCTCCATTTATGAAGAAATGCTAAAAATGTAGTTAACCCTGTTGTTATTCTAACCCCTTCAATTGTAAACCTCACTTCTGGTAATACCGATAGACCTTGTTAAGCCAAACTCACTCGCTGAATATACATCCATGTTTTATAAACAGCAAATATATCACTGTGTTTAGGCAGTTATCTTTCACTGATATCTATTCCTTACTAAAAAAACTCCTTTCTGTTCTTTATTGTTCTTTTTGGGTGTATTTCTTTCATAGTGGAAATCATTGATTCTATTGATTTCGATTCCTTACTGAAAAAAATCCATTGTATTTATTGTTCTTTTTGAGCGTATTTTTTAAATCTTTCATTTCTTACGAATTGTTCGAGGCTTAACGGCTGACTTTGATGTGTCTGAGTGAACCAGTGGTGTTAGTTAATAATAATAATATTAATAATAGGCCATTTATATAGCGCCTTTCCACGTCACAGGGATATGCTCAAAGCGCTTCCTGAGCTCAAGTTAAAACTATATACAGTTGGCAGGTACGGATGATTGGAAGTCACTTGTAGCGGAGAAATAGATGAGTCTTTAGTCGTGTTTTGAATGTACTTAGGGAAGGAGATGATTTTAACTCGATAGGGAGAGAGTTCCACAGAGACTCCAGTTAGGCTCCAGTTGGTGGTTAGCTTCAATCTCCTCTAAGCTTCGTCATTACTGGCGCCAATCAATGCATAGGAAGGTTTAGAACTGGCTTCATCGTCTTTTCACGAACTCTTGGTGTCATCACAATAAAAATGGTAAACAAGTTGTTAATACCACACTCAGCAACTTTCAAGCAATGTGACAGCGGTCTCTAAATAATGAGTCTGGACCAGACAATCCAGTGATCAACAGCATGAGCATCGATCTACGCAATTGGGATACGATGATATGCATCAATCAAGTCAGCGAACCTGACCACCCGATCCCGTTAGTCGCCTCTTATAACAAATATATGTTTACTGAAGGCCAATTCTAACCTGAATCGTAACGGATGCTATTCACTATAAACAGACGCTGATGATATACACCCTTGAATTGTATGATCTATTCTGTTTGAAGTAGAAGCTTGATATAATTATAGAGATGGTTTTGTTATTTTTATTTAATAATAAGTTTTTCTAGAACTTCCAATTGTCTCCCTATACTTTAGTACGTATGTCCTGTTCAGTGTTAACTGATTAACTGTTAACTGATTCCTCTTTACAGATGTCTCAAACAGTTATGAATAGTTTTATTACTTTTATTCATTCCAATAAGTTTTTCTGGGACTTCCAACTGTCTCCCTAAACTTCAGTTAATGTCCTGTTCCGTGTTAACTGATTCCACTCACTCACTCTTTGCAGACGTCTCAAACAGTTGTGTATGCACAGACTCGTCATCAATCCAGCCAGGATGCAGAAATTCAAATATCACGAACTTCCACACGATATCTACCCAGCACTGCTGAGTGAAGCCATTTTCCAGAGAGAATTACAAGCCATCACATTCTTTGTTTCCACCTGGCCCCACAAGATGCTAGACATTCAGAGCATCGTTCCCCAGGAAGACATTCTGAGGTCAGGCTACTTGACCCGACCTGTGGAAGGTCAAGGTAGCATGTCGCTAGTCGACAGTATTATCATGGGACTCTTGAACATTAAAGCTCATGCCAAGGTACAGACTGTGAATTTCATTGGATTTAAAAATGGTGAGTGCCTTCATCTTGGTTTTGCAGATCTAACTGATAGGACCAGCCAGCCCAAAACCCTACATAGAGTGAAAAAAGGACTCCTTTAGTTTTTCCATTTATTTGCTTGTTTTTCAGGTGAAATAACAAAAACCCACGCGAATCTACTTTTTGGTATGGTAATAAATGTGTAAAATAAGTACTGTATTTGTTTAACTGTATAAAATTTCGTTTTTGGAATTGTCTTTCTATGAGGCGTGACCTACAAGGTTGTTTTCATGTTATATTAGGAGCAGCACTTATCTTGAAGTTGAACATATATTTATCTTTATCTTTGGCATGAATGGATTTTCCTTATAAGGCCAGACCAATTTTATTTCTTGTTTTACGGATCTGCCTGTCGTATTTTTTCAAGAATAAGAAAAGAAATAAAAATGAATTTTTCCCGCTCAAAAAATAATATCCTGATGTTTTTATTGGCCAAAAATGTAAACTTACAAGAAAAATGTTTTTAAGATGTTTTTTGCCCCACATACACTTCATAAATTGCCAAAAGTAAAATACTTTGAGTATTTAGAAGGAATATTACTTTGACTGGTGATGTTTTTATTTTTTTTATCCCTCCTGCCTTTAGGTTTTCTGAGGACAAAAATCCATAAAACAAGAAATAAAATTGGTCTGGCCTAATATATATGTATGAAATTCCTGCAATAATTTCCCCCTGGCGCTGGATTGTAATACCTCTGCCTGTGTCTGTTTGAGCTAACCCCTGTGAATGTGACAGCAGATGAAATAAAGAGATTCAATACATTTTGAAGAAAATTGATACTCTCAAATAAGTATAAATGTTATGTGTCAACCTTAATTGTCCAGACCGTTACCAATGTATTTTTTGTCAAATGTGTATCTCAAAATTTCAATGGATATGGTGCCAAGAAATGGAAGAGGTGGAAGGCATGTCTTTTGAAATCTTTTAGGGATCATTCATTTTTTTATTTAAGATTTACTTACAAATTGTCTTGACCGTTACTTGGCAAAGTAACAGTTTGGACAGTCCTTGTAACGGTCAGGACAGAATTATTTGCATTTCAAAAAGTTATTCATTAATATTTGAAGTATAACAAATTTATAATGTCTTTAAGAGTTAATATAGTTTAAGCATGGACTTGTACTGTTTAAAGGAGTTTTGATGTAGTAGCATAAGAAACACAGTCTCTAGTAATGGTTTGGACAAATAATAGTAACAGTCGGGAAATTTCTTTAAAAAAATTCAATTTTGAAGAATATGTTCTATGGTGTGATAATAAATTTCTATTTACTTATCTATCTGCTTTGAATAATAAAAACCAAAACGAATTTATCACGTTAAGTTTCTATTTTCTATAAGATCTACAGTCTTTATGAATTAAAGGTAACAGTTAGGACAAAATGTAGTAATGGTAAACAACTTAATTGTATTCCAACATTTAAAGATTTTTTTGGTGTAGTCTGTTTTGACTTTGTGAGATATGTAAGACTACCATTTACTTAGAATATTGATAGGAGCTAATATGTTGGCCTTTGTATTTGATAATATGTGTTACCATCTCACTATTAACAAAAACTAAAAGTATCCAAGTGAATGAAAGAAGTAAATTTCGTGGAGACTAATATTGCACCATAATATTAACAGCAAAATGACATCTATGCAGTGGCCTGTGTAGCATGACCATGTGTACAGTATCATAGTTGTTGCAGTACCTTTCAAAATTTATTCCTTTGCAACTTTTTAGAGGGATAACATTTGTTTGTTACACTGATGTCCTGACCGTTACCAATAATGTCACAACCGTTACTGTTCATTCAATTTTCGTTCCCCAATTGCACTCTTCTTTAGATTATTAGTGATTTTCAATCTAGACAGGTATGTTTTTCTATTCTTTAGAAGCTACAATTTGTTTTTATTCAAAAGCCTAAATTCTTTCACAAGTTTTATATTGATATAACAACTGTCCAAAACCGTTACCACAGCATGGAAGAAAACATGTCATATTTGTTACGAGTTACAATTTCTATTAAACATTTCGCTGTCTGTCCAAAATAGGGTTAGCAGTTCAAGTAAATGATATCATTTTTATGCCCCCGCCATATATGGCAGGGGGCATATTGGGTTATCCTCCGTGTCCGTCTGTCCGTCCGTCCGTACGAAACAGGGAATGTACTCTATCCACTTCTCCACTAAAAACGCTCTGTGGAATTCAAGGAACTTATACATGGGCTTTCTTGGGACTCTAAAGGTGTGCATCTCATGTTTTGTTTTTTGTAGTTTATATTTTTTTGTATGTTTAGAGACATTTGAACTTCAATAAATGTTGTTGAATTTCTCTCTGATGATAGTGAAATAGGGGATTAAGTCTATCCACTTCTCCACAAAAACTGCTCAACAGAATTGATTAAGCTTATACATGTGTTTCATTGGGACTCAAAAGGTGTGCATCTCATAGTTGCATATATGTTTATTGAACTTGTTCGTGAATTTTGTTCAAATATTGATCTTTATATGTCGTATGAATGTCAGCGGGGGCATCCGTGTCCCTTGACACTATTTTTTCTTGTTTCCTTTCATGTTACCTGTTTCTATGTTGAATTAAATTGTTTAAGGCTTATATCCAGCCCATTGCCATTCTTGTCCAAACCGTTACCACTATTGTCCTAACCGTTACTGGTGTTAATTGACTGCTCTAATTAATTGATGATAATACATGAAAAACTTCTCTTTATGTTGGTGTCATCAAAAGATGTTCTGGGCTTAGTAGCAGATGTTTATTTTAGACAATTCCACCTGTTGAAAGCTATATACATAATAATGTTTTAGAAAAATGCTATCATTTTGTGGTAAATAAATGAAAGATACAAAATAACACTTTCAAGATTCATGACGATAGTTTTTACCTTCAAGTTTGATTAAGTCTGTGTAAAAGCTGTGTCTGCCATCTTTAAAAGATTTTTATGAATTATATTTCCAAATCCTTATTCTGTTTAATAAGTGGTAACAGTCAGGACAAACCCCCACCCCTTTAATTACTTATGTGTCAATTAACAGGTCAATTAGTACATTTCAGCCTGCACGTTTGTATTTTTGAATAATTAAGTGTTTGAGGTTTTATTTGAATAAAAATTAAATCAATTTTGAGGAGTTTGATTTTACTGTAATAAAGAATTGAAAATCCTACCAATTTTGAAAATGACCCATATATTAACACATTAATATTAATGTTGTCAAGATTGATAGGACAGTCAATCACAGTGTGGGCTGTGAATCAATATGTGCACTGGACATCAAGGTGAGTGTTGTTTAAGATTATTTTGTATGTGTTGAAGGGTTATTGTTTAATTTATGGTTTTGGGTCAGATCGGAAGCTGTGTCGAGAGTTGGCAAGGCTCCCCATCCTGTGGCTGAACCCCAGTGACAGACAGGCGGGCTACATTCACAGCCTCCTCCGCAGATCCATCAGTAAGTACTGGCTGAGGTAGAGTGGTATAGAGCCTGCAAATCCCGCGATGCGCTTTACTTCTGGTACTAAGCTGGCTCCCTTTGCCTGCGCCAACTTGCGATATGCAAGACAGGGCCCAGCTTACTTCTGGTACCAGGTTTCCAGTGACAAGCGTATATTCAAGAACCAGTTCCAAATTGCGCAACCGCCAAATATGACTTTGTAGACCGGACCAAGTGTACAACGATGCTTGGCTGTCACAGCTGTTGACAGTCATAATAGCTGGCTAATTTGGGGATGGTTAGATCGAAAATTTGTTATTCCTGCAAGTATTATCGGTTCCTTACTGTCAACTGACAACCATGAGACTATTCGAAAAGGTATGAAACGTTGTTTGTCTCTGGAAGTTCTAAGGTCTTGCGAAGTACCGTGACCTATTTACTCCCTCCTATAGAGGGAGTTGATTAGATGGGGTTTCGGTGAGGTGAGATAGGGTGAGGTGGTTAGATGGGGTGTCAGTGAGGTGAGATAGGGTGAGGTGATAAGATGGGGTGTCAGTGAGGTGAGATAGGGTGAGGTGGTTAGATGGGGTTTCGGTGAGGTGAGGTGAGGTGAGGTAAGGCGTTAACGATACATCGAACTATCTCTGATAGCAATTACTCGATGGTAGAAACGAAAAACTATCGATGCATCGATAGTATGTGTGACTATCGATGGTTTAGTAATTGACTTCAGTTGATAAATGAGCAGCACAAAATACAGGAAATACCAGATTCATTCACTTTGCTTTAGAGTTATCCGCCCTGTTACCTCTTTAAAAAACTTGATCTGGGTTTCAAGTTTCTTGTCAGTTATTAAACGAGACTGAAACTATTTCAGCTTCTTTTTGTTGCATATAAACTATACATTCATATGGGAAATGACTTCAAATGAGACAATTCAAGGAGAAAAAACTGGTCGCAATAGACTATAGCTATCGCAATAGTTGTTTCCCGTTGCTATAGTCACCCCTAGTGTGAGGTGGTTAAATTTGTTTTATCTTGACCTACAAAACTATGTAAATGTAGAAAAGAGTGGTGAATGAACATGCTTCATGATGTGATTTCTATATAATAGAGGTATTGGAGAACGAGTTCTGCTGTTCATGATGCCTAATCGTAGTATACATGATGAATGAGTACATTATCAATATTAGTGTATGGCCTGAATTTCAGATCTGTCCAAAGACAAAGTACAACGCTACCTCAATAGAATCGGTTGTATTTACTCCTTGCTGGACCCTTGCTTTCGTCATGGCAACAAGATTGGTAAGTATCCCATGTACTTCATATATGGGGGGACCTGTGAAGATCCGGGCTAGAATAGGTCTTCAGCAACCCATGCTTGCCATAAAAGGCGACTTTGCTTGTCGTAAAGGCGACTAACGGGATCGGGTGGTCAGGTTCGCTGACTTGGTTGACACATGTCATCGGTTACCAATTGCGCAGATCGATGCTGATGCTGTTGCTCACTGGATTGTCTGGTCCAGACTCGATTATTTACAGACCGCCGCCATATAGCTGGAATATTGCTGAGTGCGGTGTAAAACTAAACTCACTCACTCATATGTGGGGGGACCGGTGAAGGTCTGGGTTAGAATATAACATCATGAGCATCGATCTACGCAATTGGGTTATGATGACGTCAACTATCTTCATCTTCTCCAGGTCCGATAACCATCCTGATTGACTGTAAGATAACGCTGGATGATGTACCAATTGGCCTGGCCTTGCAGTACGAGACACCCTTCCGGTTTGCCTGCAAGAGACTGTGGATGGAGCCCATCCTTGAGGTGGTGCTGCCCCCTAATGTCATCAACAGGGTGCTGGATCCACGGGTAAGCATGGTGTTATTCAATATAAAATAAAGGACATGGTTGGAGAATTGCCATCTTGTGCCCACGGGAAATATCTTTATTGGTATGAAAATGTTCAAATGTTTTAGGCTCAATCCTTGATGGACTACAACAATGTAAAGAGAATCAACTATTAAAGTAATGTTTAAATAACTAATAATTATTATAATAATGATATACATTGTATGAAGTTTTAGTACTTCTTTGTTATTTTTTTGTAATTTTCTCTGTAAAATATACAAATAAAAATATTTAACTGTTTTTTTATTTTACTGACCCAAAGGTTGAAAAAAAATCTGTACACATTAAAATATGAAGTTTGGCTAATACTCAACTGTAATTTGTTCCAGCACATCACCCACTTCGAGCTGACTGACGAGAACTTATGTTCTGACCTGACAAAGTTCGACCTTGTCCTTGAGGGCCTCTTGCTGCTGCCTGGCTTGCAAGCCTTGAGCCTCCACAACAGCTTACACACCAATCTGCACGTCAACGCAGCCTACGAGCTGAATCAGACATTACAGCAGATGAACCAGCTACGTAAACTCAACTTCTCCTCGTGTACTCTCCGGGACAACCTTGACAGCCTCCTGAGCAACTTGGCCATGCCCCTCATCTACCTGAACCTCCGGGACTGCCGCCTCACCACAGTGGACATGCAGTTCCTGTATCAATGGCAGCCTGTTGAAGGTCTACAGGAACTCAATCTCAGCCGGAACAATCTTACAGCTGTTGCCCTACTGACAGTAGGCTTCCTTCAGAAGATGCCAAAAATTTCCTGTTTCTCAGTATCCTATTGCTGTTTCTCGCCCATTGCCTTGAAGCAGGTCACACGAAGATCTGTGGACTGTTCTCATTTGAAGATCATTGGACTCCAGGCTTTTACCCCTTCCCCTCTGCCGGATCTTCGGGAGATGCTGGAGGACTGTGCTAACATTCCAACTCTTCAGAGATGCAGTCTGTTGCCGGAGGCGTATGCTTTCCCTGGTTGTAATGAAGCTATGAGAACAGCCAATAGGGAGGGAATCTTGAACATCTGTTGTCAGTTGTTGGACGAGATGGGCAGGACTGACATTGAGTTGGAATGAGGATGGGAGGAGCAATAGGCTGTACTCATCTGGTGGGGGTTCAGGTGGTGCTGGAGGTCCGGGGATGATGGTTCACCGACACTTTGGGTCTCTGATATTGAGACATTTCGGGAAAGGGATGTCTGATTTGGAGGGCTGTATGATATGAGATATCGATTGGAGTAGGATCTCTTATATCGGTTGTTTGTAGGGGGTTTTCAGTAGGGTGTATGATATAAAACATTCTTGAAAGTAGGCTCTCTGATATCAGGATATTGTTTGTGGGATTTTTTTATGTGGAGGGTTGAAACACATTGGGGCATTGTTTGAGTTGGGTCTCAGGCATTGGAAAAGTCATAGATTCAAGTCTCTATGAAAACAGGACATTGTTGGGACTAGGATGTCTGATCTGGAGAGCTGAAGAACTTTGGGATAATACTGGGAGTATGGTGTTTGATGTAAGACATCCTAGAGTGTAAGGTCTTTGATACTGGGATATATTACAGGGTAGGGTGTCTTACTATGGGATACTGTTTGGAGTTGACTGGATACTGTTTGGGAGTAGGTTGTTTGATCTGATGGGTTGAGACACCTTGGGGTGTTGTTTGGAGTAGGTGTCCAGCACCGGTACATAGCTGGATGTGGTCTCTATCATTCTGGGACATTGGTAGGAGCATTGTCTATGATATTTGGACATTGTTTAACGTATATTGTTTTTGCCTGATGGGTTGAAACACCTTGGGACAAGTTTGGTAGTAGGTCTTTGATATTTGGACATTGGGACATTTCTGATCTGGACGATTGAAGCACTTTGGGACATTGTTGGCAGTAAAGTGTTTTTTATATTGGGAAATGTTTTGGAGTAGGGTGTCTGTTGTTGGAGTTTTGTATGGAATACGGGCTGATATTGAGACTGTTTAGAGAAGGGACTGAAATCTTGTGGGATGAAGCACCTTGGTACATGTGTGTTTGTTGGTTCTCTGATATTTGGACATTGTTGGGAGCAGCTTGTCTGATCTGTTGGGTTAGATCACGTTGCTACACTGTTGAGAGTTGGCTTTCTGATGTTGCGGGTTGAAGCTCATTGGCATGATATTTTTGGAGCAAGAATGTTTTGAAGACACTCCATGGACAGACATTGTTGTATTGGATTGAAGTCTGATTCTTGAAGACTGTGTGTGATGATTTTTGTTGGGTTATGCTCTAGAGATGTCCACTGGACCCTCTGGAGATTTGCAGGGGCGTAGCTACCATTACAAAAAAAAGCCAGGGCTTACACATGATTTTTGCTAAAAGGGATAGACAAGCCCTCAATACTATCTAAATGTAAAGCTTTGCAACCTATCAGGCTTACATGAAATAATTGGCTTGCTACGTACCTGATTTGTTGGGATGAAGCTTCAAGAGACACTGTTTGGTTGAAGAATCCCCTGATTCCATAAACAGTTATGGCATTCACTTTGAATGGATCTGTTCTAGGACAAAAGATTAAGAACATGTTGAGTGAGAATCTCATAAGTTGGTCACAAGTTTAGTGAATAAACCACTGAATCTTTCAGCTAAATTCATGTATATTTATGGATCATACCACCAATTGAGGCCAAAGGGTCATTTGGTCCATGAGCATGCATGGTTTTGGCTGAAACATGTGGACTGACCAAGTATCTATGGTCTCTGTCTTCAAGTAAGAGAAGGCCTGTGGGAATTCCATGTCAGAATAGGTATACATGGTCCGTTTGATTTCATTTAAGACCGATGAATTGCTCACTAACACAAAATCTAATAAATGCAACAAAAACAAAATTTTGCACAGTCACATGAAATCGATAGACCAACTCTGATGATTCGTGTCATAATTTTGGATAACCGAATAAAAGAGTTGTTAAACAAATGAACATTATTTTGTTTTCGCTTACAGCTGTTTTGTACGATGGGGGACCACTTGCTGGTAGAACAGCCAGGCAATCAACAAGCGTCTGTAATGAAATTTCAATTTCATACGTGCAACTCGCACACCTGGCTGTTCTACCAGAAGGTGGTCCCCCCTCGTGAAAGATAGCGAAAACTGACAACAAAATAATGATCGTTTGTTAAACAACTTTTTTATTCGGTTGTCCAAATTTATGACACAAATCATCAGAGTTGGTCTGTCGATTTCATGTGACTGTGCAAAATCTGGTTTTGTTGCATTTATTAGATTTTGTGTTAGTGAGCAATTCATCGGTCTCAAATGAAATCAAACGGACTGTACCTCACACTTATCATTAGAGATGAATAACAGGGTACTCAGGTGGTTAGGTTCAGTCATACGGCCATTGTTTGTCATCACACACCTGTGGATCAGATCATGGCTCATTGTTGGAGTCACATGGCTGTGGATCAGATCATGGCTCATTGTTGGAGTCACATGGCTGTTATTACAGAAATATTGCTGACTGCATTGGTGTGCAGGATCTGCTAATTCAGCACTGATACATACTGATGCAAACATCCCATCTGGAGTATATTCATTTCTTGTTTGGGGCGGTGGGGTAGCCTAGTGGTTAAAGCGTTCGCTCGTCACGCCGAAGACCCAGGTTCGATTCCCCACATGGGTACAATATGTGAAGCCCATTTCTGGTGTTCCCTGCCGTGATATTGCTGAAATTTTGCTAAAAGCGGCATAAAACTAAATTCACTCACTCATTTCTTGTTTGACAGACACTGTAGTCAGCGTTACATAAGACATCAGGTAACATTAAAATACATTTTGAGATCAAATTTCTAATGACTTCTTTAAAAGGTTCTACCTCAAACAAGAACATTTTGTAGAAAACAATTATCTGATTGAGCTCAGCATTGTAATTACCACAGTTAGGTTTAGTACTTTTGCAATAATTAGGACATATTTTGTCAATAAAATGTGAACATAAACTGAAATGGTCTGGATATTGAGTTTAATTCCCAAACATATATTACATATTTCAGCCTGACAACCTGTTGCCAGGTCTTGCTGGTAATCAGAGCAACTTATGTTGCTTAGAGAGGCGAACAACTGGTTTAAAGGAGCAGTGACTTTATTATTGTTCCTCAGTGACATGAATCACTGGTTTGTCTGGTCCAGATTCCATTATTTACGAGCTGCATTCATATAGATGTGGCATTAAAACAACACACAAACATTCTAAAACCAGTGTTTACTTCTTGCTTAACTGGTATTCTTACCAAGTGCCAGAGGCCAAATAATTACAAGAAACCATTTCCACTGTTGATTTGAGGGTAAGTTCATTATTGGGAAAAACATTAAATAGCCAGCAATATGAAACACAGGTTGTTTGAATAGTAAAGTGTAGGGCTATGTTGTAAAACATGCAAATTAATTTGTCAAGCCTAATTTCAAAATTAAAAAAAGTTCAAAAATTAAGGAATATAAAAAAAGTTCAAATATTTATTCACAACAGGAATTATAATAGTTTAGGAATGTGAAATTCTTCAAAGGCATTTAGAAGTTGGTGTAGTTATACAAGACAATTGTTATGGACAAATATTGCCCCACCCAGAAACGTCGTGAAAAACAAATAAAGACGTTTTTATCCATAACATTTGTCTTGTTTCAGGAATGTGATTAGCAAACCTGAATTATTGAGAACTCTTGCAAACTTTCAGTGAAATGTTTAATTGGCATTTCGTGCATTTTTCATGTGCACATGTATGTTTGTACAGTCAAATGTATCTGAGAAAATAGTGCAATATTATACATTATTTATTTTTATTATTAAATGGTACTTTTAAATGGCCAGTCTTGTATATAAGGGGTAAGTGCAATCAGTATTTTGTGTCCACATCCTCATGTTTTTTTCTATTTATGTTTTGTATTTATTATTTTTGTACCTGCAATCCTGTAGGGGATTACCTATTTGTGAAATCACAGTCACACCCATGGATCTCTCTACAGCATGAAATATTCACAGTATTAACATACTGACAAAGTATTTTTTGTCAATATAATGAGTTTCCTGCATGACATACTTATTGACACTACACTCAACAAATGCAGTATGTGTTGTATATGTGCAATACACGAGAAAGTGCACTGGACGACTGCCTTGTTTCTATACATCAGCATGTTCCTCTTGAGTTTTTCTTAAAATCGGATTTGCAAGTTTATTACAATAAATATATTGCAAGTGATTCCCAGTCATTTGATTGGCTATCCAAGCAAGTATTTTGCTTTAATGATAATTAAAGCAGAAATTATAGTAGAGAGGAGTTTTTGTAATGGGAGTTGGCTTTGCAGTTTCAAACAGTAGATGTACATAAGATCTCAAGAGATACCTGTTTGTTTCAGAAAAAGGCTTTCAGCTATTCTGTTTACCATTTTGTTATGGCCTGAATTGTATTTCATACAAATTATTTCTTTTAGTTTCTGTTTTTGTATTTTGTGTACTCTGATCCCCTTACATGAAGTATATTTCTACATTTTACCTTGTTCATTTGAATAAAAAATATCCCTTTAATTTCTTTGTTATGTTTTATTGTAAGGCCAGACCAATTTTATTTCTTGTTTTACAGATCTGCCGGTTGTATTTTTTCAAGAATAAGAAGGAAAAAAATGAAAATTCATTTTCCCTGCTCAAAAAATAAATCCTAATGTTTTTATTGGCCCATAATGTAAACTTACAAGAAAATGGGTTTTTTTCTATTGTTTTTTGCTCCATATACACAAGAACCAACAAGTACCATGTTTTAACGTCTTTTGGTATGACGCAGTCGGGGATCGAACCCGCGACCTTCCGCTCTCTGGGTGGACACTCTGACCACTACACCACGGAGGCGGTCGGGGATGCACATAAATCATGCTCCTCAGGGAAGGTTTGTGAGTCTTTAGTCTGTCTAATGTCTATGCATTTAGGATACAATGACATAAACATGAATGAAATTAGTGAATTCATGAAACATTAAGCATTTTATACTGAAATATAAACCACTGAAGACCCAAGTTAGAATTATTTCAGTAACCCATGCTTGTCGTAAGAGGCGACTAACGGGATCGGATGGTCAGACTCGCTGACTTGGTTGAGACTTCTTATTGTGTCCTATCAACAATGGGATTGTCATCCAAAACTATCACAAACATTTGAGGTAGACAAATATTTTTGATACGTCAATGCATCAAAACCTGTGAGCACCATGCCTAACACCAAATATCCTGTTGAAAATTACCAATCCTTCAGATCTTGACTCTCAGTGTAGAGAATGTTAAAATGGAGTTACGTATAAGGTAAACAATAAATTCATCATCCATATTAAACTTTAATTGTAATTGTATATTGATATATCAGTAACACTTGAAAAACTGTTTATCACTCATTTTCTGTTGTCAGAATATAAACTGATTCCTATAAGCAGCATAATTATATTTACATTCCAAAGTTGATCATGTGCAGAATTCATTTGATGGCAAATTCGATTGATCACATTTAATTATTCTTGTGTATTACGTTTGAATTTTTCCTAACCCTTTCCTCGTGCTTGTTTGTACCGAAAAACATTTTTCACAAAAGATACAGCATCCCCGGCGGGATTCGAACCCGCGACCTCTGGATTAGAAGTCCAGCGCGCTATCCCCTGCGCTACGGGGACCTTGCCTGAGACGGTTTGCATTTTTATCGACCCAAATCGAAACATACAGCACATCAAAATCGGGTCGAATATTCACAGTGCATTGTTAGTTTTTAATCTATCCTAATCGCAAGGCACGACTAAGCGTAAGCTTTCCAAATGACAAGTGAAAGATGAGCATTAATATACGACAAAGCAATATAATGTCCTAAGCCATCCGCACAATAACCCGGATGTTACACTTCCAACGAGTTTTCTACCTCATTCACGTAATATTCTTTTGCGGTGAGTTGTAAGCTCCACAACGGCACATGGTGTGGTTTTATCGGAAAACATTGGTGCATGTTGGTGCATGGGTACGTTGTGAGGAGTTACGCTGGGCCCCGTCTCGCATATCGCGCAAAGGGAGCCGGGAACCAGCTTATGTAAGGAGTTCCCTTGTAGACAGGCGCCAAGTGTGTGTCTATTTTCGCAGCTTATTTTACCCCTCGAGAACAGATGTGATGTTGGTATTTTACTAGCGCTTTCGATACTCATCTGAGCTAGGTCGAACTTGCTAACATCAATGCGATTTCACATGTTCAAGAGTATAGCGTTATTGTTCACATCATAGACGCATCATTTTTTAAATGTCACAGCATGTCTTGATGTCATATTGGTTATGACACATTGTATATACGTGACACATGTCATAACACCATTGACACACACTTGGAATCATCACTGCCTTTGAGAACGATTACAGATGATGTGTTTGTTAGTTAGTTGTTCAACGCCGCAGCATTATTACAACAATATTGGGGAGGTGGGGTAGCCAAGAAAAGCGTTCGCTCGTCACGCCGTAGACCCGGGTTCGATTCGCACAGAAGTACAATGCGTGAAGCCCATTTCTGGTGTCCCCCCTAAAAATCGGCTGAATCCATTCACTATATTACTTAGAGGCGGCAACAATTTTGAACATGGATCAAAGGAGAATTTATATTCAGAAGACGAGCTTTGATTGGCCGTTTTCCAGCTGATGACGTAGGCACGTGGGCAGAAAGGGATGGGGACTTCTTGTGATCCGACTGCAACCCCGAAGCATTTAAAAACAATTCTTCAGTGGGCTTTTTATGCATTTTATCTTTGGTTTTGTCTGCGGTTGGTATATTTAGTTCCTTTAAAACTACGA